CAAAGCAAGTCCCTTCTGCTTATGAGCCTGTAAAACCCAAAGCAAGTTAGTTACTTCCTAGACACAATGGGGGTACAAGCATTGGCAAATACAGCCATTCCAAATGGGAGAAATTGGCCAAAACAAAGAGGCCACAGGCCCTATGCATATCTGAAATCGAGTAGGGCAGTCAAATCTTTTTTTTTTTTTTTTTTTTGAGACGGAGTCTCACTGTGTCTCCCAGACTGGACTGCAGTGGCGCCATCTCGGCTCACTGCAAGTTCTGCCTCCCGGGTTCACACCATTCTCCTGCCTCAGCCTCCCGAGTAGCTGGGACTACAGGTGCCTGCCACCACTTCCAGCTAATTTTTTGTATTTTTAGTAGAGACGGCGTTTCACTGTGTTAGACAGGATGGTCTCGATCTCCTGACCTCATGATCCACCCACCTCAGCCTCCCAAAGTGCTGGGATTACAGGCGTGAGACACCGTGCCCTGTAATCCCAGTAATCTTAAAGCTCCAAAATGATCTCCTTTGACTCCAGGTCTCACATCCAGGTCATGCTGATGCAAGAGGGGGGTTCCCATGGTCTTGGGCAGTAGTGGTACTTTTACTTGAGCTAGGGGAAAGGATTAACATGTGAATATTTCCAGGAAGTATCTTCCCTTAACTAAGTCATACATTTTCTGCCAAGGGGAGTGTAAACTGGAACAACATTGATGGAGGATAACTCAGCAACAGTATCAAAATGTGAAGCATGCACTTGACCCAGTCATCCCTTTTCTAAGAATTCACCCTTAGGAAATAACCACACCAGTTCCAAAAAAAAAAAGGGAAAAAAAAAAAAATGTGAGCACAGAAATGCTTGTCCCAGTGCCTTCTGTTGATAATAGAGAAATACTGCCAACAACCAGAATGCAACTGAACGAACTGGCAAACATTTTCAAAAATGTTTCAGTGAAGTACGTTATATCTATTTAAGGAAATATCATGCACCATTAACAATGATATTTATTAGGCCAGGTGCAGTACTCACACCTGTAATCTCAGCATGTTGGGAGACAGGCGCGCAGATCGTTTGACCTCAGGAGTTGGAGACCAGCCTGGGCAACATGGTGAAATCCCATCTCTACTAAAAATACAAAAATTAGTCAGGCATGGTGGCATGCACCTGTGGTCCCAGCTACTTGGGAGGCTGAGGTGGGAGGATTGCTTGAGCCCAGAAAGTGGAGGTTGCAGTGAGCTGAGTACACACCACTGCACTCTGGTCTGGGTGACAGAGTGAGACCCTGTCTCAAGAAAAGAAAAAGAAAAAAAAAGAAAAGAAAAGAAAAAGAAAAATGAGACTGGGCACAGTGGCTCACACCTGTAATCCCAGCACTTTGGGAGGCTGAAGTGGGAAGATCACTAGAGGTCAGGAGTTCAAGACCAGCCTGGACAACATGGCAAAACCTCATCTCTACTAAAAACACAAAAATTAGCCAGGTGTGGTGCAGCCTGCCTGTAGTCCCACTACTCGGGAGGCTAAGGCAGGAGAATCGCTTGAACCTGGGAGGCGGCAAGTTGCAATGAGCCGAGATGGCACCACTGCACTTCAGCCTAGGCAATAGAGCAACACGCTGTCTCAGAAAAAAAAAAAAAAAAAACCTCCCCCCAAAAAACATCTTATGTACCCCATAAATATATACACCTATATGTGCCCACAAAAATTAAAAATTCAAAACAATGACATTTATAATTAGGGATTTGAACAATGATATTAAAGAATTGTGATTTCAGGTAGGAGTGTGGTCGTGAATTTATGGGTTTTTTTGTTTGTTTGTGTTTTGAGACAGAGTCTCCCTCTTTCACCCAAGCTGGAGTGAAGTGGCACGATCTCGGCTCACTGCAACCTCTGCCTCCCAGCTTCAAGTGATTCTCTTGCCTCAGCCTCTCCCAAGTAGCTGCCTCAGCCTCCCAAGTATAGACACTCACCACCACGCCCAGCTAATTTTTTTTGGTTTTGTTTTTTTGTATTTTTAGTAGAGATGGGGTATCACCATGTTGGCCAGGCTGGTCTTGAACTCCTGACCTCAAGTGATCCGCCTGCCTCAGCCTTCCAAAGTGCTGGGATTACAGGCATGAGCCACTGCACCTGGCCGAATTTATGTTTTTAAAAGAGTCCTGGTTTTTTAGAGATGCACAGTGAAATGTGCGCAGACGTGGTTTGCTGTAAAATAATAGCGGGGAAAGTAGATTAGTGGTTGCCAGCGGCTGAGAGAGAGGAAATGGGGAGTCACTGCTTAGTGGGTGCAGGGTTTCCTTTGGAGTGATGAAAATGTTCTGGAGCTAGGCAGAGGTGATGGCTGCGCAACACTGTGAATGTACTAAATGCCTTTAATGGAAAATTCAATGTTGTATGTATTTATCACAATATTAAAATAGTAATAACAGGGGGGAAATAGGGCTGAGATGAAATAAGATTGGCCATAATTGAACATCATTGAAAGCTAAGTGATGAGAACTGGACCATATATGTGTATATCTACATGCATAGAAATGTTAAATATTTTCCATAATAAAATACTATAAAAAGTGATGCTATCATCTCACACAGTTACTCATTGTTTGGTAACCATTTTATTATCTACTGAATGCCCTAAGTGTACACAATAAAATTTATCTTTTTAGAAAAAGTGGTGCCACAGATGTATACTCACTGACATGGAATGTCCATAACATATTGTCAAGTTTAATGAGTCAGTTATAAAACCAAACATCGGGATTATCCCATTGATATAAAATTCTATATCTAGATTGTCCAGAATACTTGGAGTAAAGATTTAACTGTCATTACTGCTGGGTTAGTAGATCTGAGGAGATTTGAACGGTCTGTGCTTTTCTTTTTCCGTTGAATATTTGTACAAAACTTGAAGTAGTTTTCTTAAAAGGTAGAAATGTTTAGGGACACATCTTTTGCTCCTAGCATTCTGACTGAAGGGCCCCAGGTGGTGGCACATTCATAACACAAATTCATAACACACCTGGCTAGCTCGATGCCTGGGCACCTACTCCAATGACAATGCCCTCCACAATCACCGTCACCTCACAGAGGATCTGAGAGGGGCCCAACTTTATTGTTGGCTATCCCTGTAAACGACAGCTACCCCAATGGTGATCCTAGGCAACCCTTTTGCCAGCACACACTCCTTTGTCCCCACAGTGGTCGTCACGTAGGCTAGGGCTGGAACTGTCCCTGTTTTAGAGACAAGGCAGCTAGAGCTTGGAGGAGTTGGTGGGCTTGCCCAGGTACCACAGCTAAGTAGCCAAGGAAGGGCCCAGCCTCCCTGGGGAGTCCAAGCCTTGCCTTCTCTCTCTTATGAGCCACATCTCATTGGTGGTCAGGACTGTCCTGACCACCCATGACACCAGTCCTCCACTCGGGAGAGGAAGACCATTAAGCATTGATCTTGCATAGGCAAAAACTCAGACACCTGTGTTATCACGACAGCCAAGTATCCCTGGCCCCCACTGCACTTCACACAAATGACAGCAGCTGGAGGGCTAACATGGTGACTGCCCCTGGACTGCCCCCTGCTAAGGACTCCACTGCCCCTGCTGGAGTGCCTCTCTAGCTTAGCTCTCTGGAGTCACCCTGAAGTCCCTCCTGGCCTCCCACACTCGGAGCTATCCTTTGGAAGGACTTGCTCTTCCAAGCTGGCTCTGTGAGGACCCCGAGACTGCTTATCCAAGTGGCCCAGAGGCTCTACACCCAGAGCCTGTGGACCAGAGTGACCACTGTGTCTGGCCACAGCACCAGCGCCCACTTCTCACACTCATTCATTCATGCAGTCCTCTCTCTCTTCTTCCCTCCCCTGATTCCTCCAACAAATAATTCAAGCATGTCTACTCTGAGACAAGCAGGGTGCTAGTCACCGGGCATTCAGTGGCAAGCCAGTTGTCACAATCCCCACCCTTCTGTTGTTATGGATTATCAGGGAAGTCAAACATTAAATAAGTGTACAGGTGAATAATCAGTGCAACTGGGGTGGGTGCCATGGAGTCGTATAGCACTCTTCCCACTACATGGGAAGCCGACCTGGGCTGGGGAGTCAGGAGGGTGTCCTGGATAAAAAGGTGTTTAACAGGCCAGGCACGGTGGCTCACGCCTATAATACTAGCACTTTGGGAGGCCGAGGCAGGTGAATCACCTGAGGTCAGGAGTTCGAGACCAGGCGCATGCATGTAAGCCCAGCTACTCGGGAGGCAAAGGCAGAAGAATTGCTTGAACCCAAGAGGCGGAAGTTGCAGTGAACCAAGATCGTGCCATTGCACTCCAGCTTGAGCAACAAGAGTGAAACTCCATTTAAAAAAAAAAAAATGCGTTTAACAGGCCAGGCTCGGTCACTCATGCCTTTAATCCCAGCACTTTGGGAGGCCGAGGCAAGTGGATCACAAGGTCAGGATTTTGAAACCAGCCAGGCCAAAATGGTGAAACCCTGTCTATAATAAAAAGGCAAAAATTAGCCGGGCATGGTGGCAGGCAGCCTGTAATCCCAGCTACTCGGAAGGCTGAGGCAGGAGAATTGCTTGAACCCAGGAGACGGAGGTTGCAGTGAGCCAAGACCACGCCACTGCACTCCAGCCTGGGCAACAGAGTGAGACTCCATCTCAAAACAAACAAACCAAAAAAAATGCATTTAAAACAGCAGCCGTTGCCTGTGTGGTGTGTGACACCTCATAGTACCTGGGGCTCATGCCAGCTAACAGCCAAGAAGCTGAGGTCAAGAGAGGCAGAGGCCACAGAAGACATCACTCAGCTGAGGAGAGGGAAACCCAGACCTCAGAGTGGCCTCAAAGCCAGGCCTGACCAGTCCCAGGCTCGCCCAGAGCCAGCAGGGCTGCTACTAGGACAGGCAGGACTCAAGGGCTCCTGTGGCCAGGCCCTGAAGGTGACACTTCTGGCTGAGCTCACAAGACATCTCTGCACAGTTCTCTATGACACAGAGCTGCCTCACTCATGACAAGACATCCATCCCACGGGCCAGCCTGGCCTCCCCGCTTCTGGTGCTTAACAGAGACAAGGCGAGATGGGCTCATTTGTGGCTGCAGGTCTTCCACGGCGGGCACGGTACCAAGACTGAAGAGCCTAATTAAAATGAAAACCCTCGTTCCTCAGGAGAGGCTATCTTATTTCTGAGCAGTCAAGTGTTTCTGACTGTCTTCCAAAGAAAAATGTAAGGCAGCTGCTGTGGGGGGGGAAAACCCACCACTCAGTCACTAAAACCAGAGCTCACCCACGGGAGTCGCAACTTGCAGGATCCATCCTAGGCTCTCCAGAGGGCAGTGCCTGAGGCCGCAGTGAATTGTCAACTCCAGCCTGCAAGGTCAGAGCACAGCCTGCCCCAGGGGCTTGTCTCCGGCCTGATTCTCTGACTTGCGGCTGCCTGATGGCCACTGTACCCTTCTCTGCTCTCACCTGGACTAAGGCAGGTTACTGGTATGACACTGTGCGCACCAAACATCTGGGGGCTGGAGAGAATGTTCCTTCTGTGTCTAGGCATTGAGGCCTGTGGAGGAGCACAGCCTCTGTCCTTTCCATGGAAGGAGAACTGGCTCCAAGCTGTGGAGAGCAGGGAGATCATGAAACAGCCAGGTCCTGCCTCTTGCCATAGCCTGAGCCCAAGCCTGAGCCCTTCCCACCTTCAAGCTCAGCCTCAGTTTCTACAGCCAATCCCGATTCAGGTGGAAGCTCTGGACCAATGGTTTTCAAATCATCTGCAGTGGACCTCATGTTGCAAACAGATATCCTTCACCCGAGACCACTGGCCACAGAACAAGGGAAGCAACCTAGGCTGACAGAGGAAGCCAGTCTGGATCCCACCTACTGGCACCCCCACTGGCAGTGGCCCCTACAGAGGAGTACAGTAGCTCACACCAGCCCAAGGCTCTGAAACCACATGGAAGCCTTGGGCTGCTGGTGCCACTGTATTCAGGTGTACCATACATGGACAGGGACCACCACTGTGCTGCCAAGAGCCAGCCTCCACTGGACTCAGCCCTTCCTGTGCTCATCAGGCCCTGCCCAGCACCCCAGGTTGCCCCTCCGGAGCCTCTGGAAGCTTCCATGATTCCTGCCTGTGCCTTCAGCAACTTGTCTTGTCTTCCAAGGCTTCTCTTCCACAATCTGTGGTTGTCATGCCTACCTGTCAGCCTGGCCTCCCTCCAGAGGAGGGTCTGAGCCCACCATGGTTCCTTGGCCTGGGCTGGACACAGGTGAGGGGGCAGCCTCAGTGGACATGGAGCCCCTCAGGCATGACCTTGCCCTGCTTTGACCATGCTGGATCGGGCCAGGGCAGGGAGCCTGCTCTGAGCTGTGCCAGAGCCTCTCACCCAAGAATTTGAAGCTGGAGCCAGAGATGGCAGCCACAAGGCCAGGCAAGAGCCAGGCCAGGCCAGGCCCAGCTACAAAACGAAATTACGGAGGAACAAAGAAGCCAGGCTACAGAGGGAAAGGACACAGAGGGGACACCGGGAGAGAACCAGAAATGGGGGTGTCAGAGAGAGCAGCTGCGGACACACCTCTCCCTATGGATGCTCCACTTTCTGCACCCTGAGCACAGGCCCCACTTGTGCTTCAGCCAGTCTCAGCGGGGTTTTGTTCCCTGCTACCAATTGACCCTGGATAGAAAACCATGAAAAAATAATTTTTTAAAAACTAATTAGTAAAACAGATCCCTATCTATATTAGTCTGTTCTCGTGCTGCTAATAAGGACATACCTGAGACTGGGTAATTTATAAAGGCAAGAGGTTTAATGGACTCACAGTTCCACATGGCTGGGGAGGCCTCACAATCATGGCAGAAGGCAGCCAGCCCGGTGGCTCATGCCAGTAATCCCAGCAGTTTTGGAGGCCGAGACGGGTAGAGCACTTGAGGTCAGGCGTTCATCAGCCTGGCCAACATGGTGAAACCCCGTCTCTACTAAAAAATACAAAAATTAGCCGGGCATGGTGGCACATGCCTGTAATCCCAGCTACTCAGGAGGCTGAGGCCTGAGAATTGCTTGAACCTGGGAGGCGGACGTTGCAGTGAGCTGAGATTGCACCACTGCACTCTAGCCTGGGCAACAGAGTGAGACTCCATCTCAAAAAAAACACAAAAAACAAAAAACAAAAACCATGATGGAAGGTGAATGAGGATCAAATTCACATCTTACATGGCGGCAGGCAAGAGAGCATGTGCAGAGGAACTCCCCTTTATAAACCATCAGATCTTGCGAGACTTATTCACTACTTCGAGAACAGTATGGGAGAAACCACCTCATGATTCAATTATCTCTACCTGGCTCCATCCTCAACACATGCCGATAATTACAATTCAAGGCGAGATTTGGGTGGGAGACAACCGAACCGTATCACTATCTATGCAGGTGTATCCAGTGTGGGTAGAAGACATCCCACAAGCATAAGACCATCACACACAGATCTGTTGTCAACTAAGGACCTGAGCTGAAGAGCCTGGAATGGTAGTGATGATGACTGGCATTTGGAGGCTGCTCCACATGGTTCCCTCTCACCTAGACTTGTTTTGTATTATTTAATTTAATTTAACATTTTTTTTGTTTTTGAGATGGAGTCTCACTCTGTTTCCCAGGCTGGAGTGCAGTGGTGCAATCCCCACTCACGCAACCTCTGCCTCCTGGGTTCAAGTGATTCTTCTGCCTCAGCCTCCCGAGTAGCTGGGACTACAGGTGCATGCCACCACACCCAGCTAATTTTTGTAGTTTTAGTAGATACCGGGTTTTGCCATATTGGCTAGGCTGGTCTCTAACTCTGGACATCTGGTGATGTGCCTGCCCTAGCCTCCCAAAGTGCTAGGAATACAGGCATAAGCTACTGTGCCCAGCCTAATTTTAAAAATATTATTGTTGTTGTTATTTACTCTCACAACCATCTCATGATGCAGACATTATTTGTCCCTATGATGGGCAAAGAATAGCCTAGAGAGGTAGAGTGCCTCGTCCAAAGTCACATAGTGACTCAAGAGCAATGCCAGGATCCCACATTTTGTGTCCCTTTTACTAAGCCATACTTGTTCATACCACCAGGCATGGTACTGTGATTCAGCAAACTGACCGAGGGGCCACCTCAGGGCCCAGCCTTCTAGTTCTGTAGCCCAGAATACTCAGCCTCAACCTTTCCATGACCATCTCCAGTCAAAGCTTAAACTCACAAAGTGAAATGCAGGGGATATCCAGGGAAATGTCACAGTCCTGCCAGCCTCGGGTTTAGGTCAGGCATCCGGTCTGGACCCCGGGACCCTCCATCTCTAGAATTAGTGACATCCTGAGTTGACAGCCTTGCCTGCATCAGAGTTCGGTGCTCATGCCCACGGATCCACGTGAAGGTTAACACCTAAACGGCAACAAAGAATAAACTTCTCCAATCTGATAATTACAAAGGAAAGTGCTATTATGCCTTCTAGTTACAAAGGAAACAATCAGTAATCAAGGTAATTGCCCTGGCAGGAAAATGATGCTTAAATTACCTTAATGGCAACAATGCTTTTTTTTTTTTTTTTTTTTTTTTGAGATGGAGTTTCTTGCTCTTGTCCCCCAGGCTGGGGTGCAATGGTGCGATCTTGACTCACTGCAACCTCCACCTCTCGGTTCAAGCAATTCTCTTGCCTCAGCCTCCCGAGTAGCTGGGACTACAGGCATATGCCACCACGCCCAGCTAACTTTTGTATTTTTAGTAGAGACGGGGTTTCACCATGTTGGTCAGGCTGGTCTCGAACTCCTGAGCTCAGGTGATCCTCCTGCCTCCACCTCCCAAAGTGCTGGGATTATAGGTATGAGCCACCACACCCGGCTGCAAGAATGTTTTAAACTATAGACAACCACTTTTCTTATGTTCAGACCTCTTCATAAGAAGAACTCCCACCCCCAGAGGCGTATTCCATAACGCCTACTTTTCTACTGAAATAAGGTGGCCACTTCTGGGCTGGCTCCTGGGCTTGGGTGGCCGGCTAAAGTCCCATGCGGAGGGGCTCAGAACAAACGCTGTCACCCCCAGTGTGAAAATCCAACTCAGTTTCTCTGAGAACTGAACATCAATCTCCTTTGAGCTCGGCACATGCATTCAAACTCACAGGTGACCCATTTACCCTGGGCCTCTATCAGTTAGCACTGATTTATACAGGTCTCTCAGGGGTAAGCCGCAGCCATCTGCACGGGTCATAGGGTCACTTCCAAATCCAAATTGTTCACACCTCCTAAAGAACAAGACCATCATTTTCCTGTTACTTTCTGGTGACTCTTCCTCCTCCAAATGTGGATACCTGGGAACTGACTGTGCTCCCATTAGTAACTCCCCAACCCACACCCCTCACCTTTTACCCTGCAGGGCCCCTGATGAAGCCAAGGGTCAGAAGACCACATCCTGCCAATGCCCAGCCCTCCTTCCTTGAGAAGGGCCGGATCCTCTCCCATCTGAGAGCTGTTAACCTCTTTTTGGTTTCTCTGAACTGAACAGAGCCCAGCTTGGCTGCTGGAAGCACATGTGCGGCCCCTTTCCCAGCCCTCTGCATTCCCTTTTCTACTTCCCGCAAACTCTCTAAGACAGGGAGAGGACTGCCTCCTTTAAATAAGCTTTATTCCAACCCACTGTTAATTTGTTGATATGATCATAGCACTTTGGTTATGTTAAAAAACAAAACAAAACAAAACTGAATTCTGATCTTTTAAAGATACATCCAGACATGTTAACAAATGGAATGCTATGACCTCTGCAATGGGCTTCAAAATGATTTAGATAGAGGAAGAGGATGGAGGCATAGAGACAAGACTGGCCATGAGCTGGTAGCTGGTAACTGTGGCATCTGGATGACAGGTATGTAACGATTCCCGAGAATCTTCTGTTCACTTCTGTTTATTCTGTATAACAACAACAATTTTTTTTTTTGAGAGAGAGAAAGTCTCGCTCTGTTGCCCAGGCTGGAGTGCAGTGGCGTGACCTTAGCTCACTGAAACCTTTGCCTCCCAGGTTCAAGCAATTCTCCTGGCTCAGCCTCCAGAGTGCCTGGGATTACAAGCACGTGCCACAATGCCCGGCTAAATTTTTGCTTTGTTTTGTTTTGTTTTGTATTTTTAGTAGAGACAGGGTTTCACTGTGTTGGCCAGGCTGATAATAACAACAGTTAAAAAAAAAAAAAAAATTAAATCCTATCCCAGAGTTTTTTTTAGCATCCTTAAGCCCAACTGTTCTGAGGTTTTCACCTGTGCCTCTGTCAATCAATACGTTTACGGAGCAGCAACTATATCCAAGGTGCAGCTAAAGCTGCAAACAGTGAGCCACCTGGCCCTGCCTGCAGTGAGCCCTCGGGATGCACCTCTGTCCCTGACCTGCAGAGTCCTGTCCTCTATTTTATCACAATCCCCCAAACCCTCATTTCCTAGACTGGGCACTGGTTTTTCTCTCTCCCAAAACCAAGATGGGCAGTCAGGTACTCCCCTTCCTGGCCATGTGAAGGAGACTGAGTCCAGCTTCCTGTCCTGGCATCATGGAGGGGAAACATGGACTCCCTTGCTCCTCAGTCTCACGGGATGAAATGGCCCAGGTGTGAGTCAGGGCAGAGAAGAGTTTGAAGGGAAGAGAGTCTGACCATCTGCTTTTTGGAGGGTTTAGGTGAGGTCAACCCCTCCATTCTGCAACCCGAAGACCAAGACCCAAGTGCCAGGACACGTCCTGCTTTCCACCGGACCAAGAGCGTGGAGGGAAGCCCTGGCACTACACGGGCTCCAGGCTTGAATGCCTGAACACTGCCAAATACAAAGGGCTGGAAACTTTAAGAGCACACAGGCAAGACAGTAACTAAAAACCCTATGAACTAACCTAGATATGTTTATTTGTTCAGAAAGCTGTGTGGCTTTGTTGGGAAAGCCCAAATTTGCAGCCGGTGAGGAAGGAATTTGCACCTTGAGCTGCTGAGCGATCAAGGAGCTATGGCTGCCCTGCCAGGTGCCATTCAATGTTCATTCCAGGGTCACCAGAGAAACAGAAACCAATCCCTTCCATGAGCCACGCCCTTCACCACTACCAGTTTTTTGTTTTTGTTTTTAGAGAAAGGGTCTTGCTTTGTCACCCAGGCATGATCATAGCTCACTGCAGCCTTGACCTCCTGGGCTCAAGCGATCCCCCCACCTCAGTCTCTCGAATAGGTAGGACTACAGGTGCATGCCACCACACCCAGCTATTTTTTTTTTGAAAGATGGGGTCTTGCTATGTTGTCCAGGCTGCTCTGCACTCCTGGCCTCAAGCGATCCTCCCACTACAGCCTTCCAAAATGCTGGGATTACAGGCATGAGCTGCCATGCCTGGCTCCACTATCAGTTTTAATGACCAATAATTCATGCTTATATTCCATTTTTTCAGTTCGAGTGAGAACCATGAAGAGAAAGTCTCTGATGAAGAAAGGGTATAGCACTCCCGATATAGACACAAGCGGTTTTCTTAGGTAGAGAGAGGGGCTGCACCTAGGCCTAGAAGGCAGGGGCCAAAAACTCAGATACAATGCACCTGATGAACAATAGGGCCCTACACCATCACTTTTGTCTTCCTGCATCCAGCACATTAAATAAATATGTGGAGTAAAGCTGAATTAAACCCCCCTCCAAGAAAAACATGGAATTTGGAGATGGGGGAAGAGAGCTAGCAGCAATAAGCGATCCAGGGAGTCTGACAGAGCAGACTGTGCTTCTCAAAGTGAGAGGCTTGGAGGGCTGGCAGGAGCCCTGTGTGGAATGTTTATTACAAAAATGGGCAAAGGCCGGAAGCAGTTGCTCATGCCTGTAATTCCAGCAGTTTGGGAGGCTGAGGTGGGCAGATCACTTGAGGTCAGGAGTTCAAGACCAGCCTGGACAACATGGTGAAACCCCATCTCTACTAAAAATACAAAAATTAACCAGGCATGGTGGCACATGCCTGTCATCCCAATTACTCGGGAGGCTGAGGCAGGAGAATTGTCTGAACTCGGGAGGTGGAGGTTGCAGTAAGCTGAGATCATACCACTGCACTCCAGCCTGGGCAACAGAGCAATACCCCATCTCAAAAATAAATAAATAAAAATAAAAAATAAAAGTGGGGGAGGGCCGGGTGTCTCATACCTGTAATCCCAGCAATTTGGGAGGCCGAGGCAGGAAAACTGCCTGAGCCCAGCAGTTTGAGACCAGCATGGGCAACATGGTGAGGCCCTGTCTCTATAAAAAAAAAAAAATTAAATTAAAAAAAATTAAAATGGGGGTTCCTAGGTGCCATATGACCATCGGATCTGAATCTCAGTGGTCCTGCCCTAGGACCTAGGAGCAGTTTTAACATGCTCCCCCAGGAAGACTTCATGTCCATCAAAGCAAGAGAGAAGTTATTCAGGGTTTTCTTTTATTGTTGTTTAATCCATACCAGTCAAATTTTTACTCAGTGAATTCATAAGAGAGCTCTTTATACCATCCGACCAGTTGGGAGGACGGGGCTTCTCTCCTCCTCAGGACCGAGGGGTCTGAGGGTCAATAGCTTGAATGCACCTATATTTCCCCTTTGTCCTGAGGACAGCATAAGCCTGTTCCCATCCAGTTTCTTAGGGAGTGAGGACAGAGGCCACAGAACAAGCTGGATCAGTATCTGCAGGCCTTCTCCAAGCACTAAAGAATGACTCCCACAACAAGTAAGAAATACTCTTCCTTCAAATGGGAAGAGAGGACTGTTGAGTGGACCAAGCCCACTTACATTCCCAGGCACACAGGCAGCAGGTTTCCTGAGAGCTGTTTACAGAGCCACAACAACGCCATACTCCCGGGGGATTTATTTCCACCTCGGTGGGATCACAGCCAACAGGAACAGGAGGAAAGTCTTTGAAGTCCTACCTTTTAGAGGATTTTCATTTTGGAGCAATAGGATTGCAGGCTGTCCAGGTATTCTTTAGGGCCAGCCTCTAGGGCCACCAGCCACCCAGCCCCCTCCTCACCCCCGACCCCCTCGCCCCACTCAACTGCCTGCCTTAGTTGCTCTAAGGGCAGAACCTGGGCTGCCTGGGATAATTCCAAGTGCTGGGCTGGGGCTGTGATATCAGAATAGAGTTATGACATCAATGGAAGGCAGGTGAGCCTAGGGGAGAAGCAAGAACAGAGGAGCCCCTGAGGCTCTAGGTTAGCCCCCCAGAAGGGAAGACCCAAGAGGGAGGTGGCCAACTCTGTATCAGCTTCTTACAGACCTGAACATCGGAAAATGACTCACAGGTACGGAGAGATTTGTTGCAAGCCAGCCAACCTGCTGGTGCTTCCCTAGACACTGAGTTACAGAAAAGAAAGCGAACAAGCCATCTTCTAGCGCCCCCCTGTGTTGAGTAAAAGGATACTCTCTCTTTTCGGACTTGGAGGTTTGCCTTTGGACCAGGGAGTTGGGAACACAGACCCAGAGTGGGCTGGGTATTGAGGTCCCCCAGGATAGGGTTAAATACTCGTAGATAAAATGTAGGATGCCCAGTTACATTTGAATTTCAGATACACAATAAATAAATTTTAGTATAAACACTACCCAAATATTGCATGAGACATCCTTATCCTAAAACATTATTCGTTTTGTATTTGAAGCTCAAATTAACCTGAGTGACCTGTGGGGTGTTTTTTTTCTTTTTGGCCACTCTGTTGCCCAGGCTGGAGAGCAGTGGCTCAATCTCAGCTCACTGCAACCTCCGCCTCCTGGGTTCAAGCGATTCTCCTGCCTCAACCTCCCAAGTAGCTGGGATTAGAGGCGTGCACCATTATGCCGGGCTAATTTTTGTATTTTTAGTAGAAACAGGTTTCACCATGTTGGCCAGGCTGGTCTTAAACTCCTGACTTAAGTGATCTGTCTGCCTCGGCCTCCCAAAGTGCTGGGATTACAGGTGTGAGCCACTGCGCCCTTCCAACCTGTGTTTTTATTTGTTGAATCTGCCAATCCCACTCAAGGAGCTTTTGAAGAAAAATACAAGTACCCCCTGCCCCCAAAAGTCATTCTCATTCTGTTTCAGCAGGGCAGGGGACTTGGGAACCTGTATTACTTTAAAGCTGCGAAAGCGACTATCAATAACTGCAGCTTACTTTAGTCGAGCATTTGCCAAGCCATGTGCCAAGATCTCTTCACACATTATCTAAGCTAATAGTACCTCTAAGAGTTGGTTCTATCATGAAACCATTTTACAAAGGAGAGAAATGAGGCAAAAGACAGCAAGCAACTTGTCCAAGGTCACATAGTGGGTAAGTGTGGGAGCCATGATTTGAATTCAGGCAGGCCGGCTCTAGCATCTCTGCTCCCACTGACTTAGAAATCTTTGATTGAAGGGATTCTGGGAAGCACAGAATTGAAGCTTCTAAGGGACTGACAAGTAGGGACTCTGAGGCTCTAGGAAGCCCATGCTCAGACTAACTGCTATGCCACCATGTTCAAGGGGCGGAGCCGAGGAGCAAACACCTGGGAGCCAACATCTGGCCCAAGCAGGAGGCTGGCTCAGGGAAGGCTTTCCTGAATGGTCTCTTCCTGGAGGGTAAACAGATTTAAGGAAAATAGGGTGTGGGAAGGGACTGGATACTTGGGAACAGACTTTGCCAACAAGAGGTACAGCATTCATGCTGGCTGGCAGCAAGATGGTGTGCCAGTGAAGACAGCAGAAGCTGGATGGGTCTAGAGGACAAGAGGAGCCAGAGAAGAGACATAAATCCAAATTGCATTTTATTTTTATTTTTTTGAGATGGAGTCTCACTCTGTCACCCAGGCTGGAGTGCGGTAGTGTAATCTCGGTTCACTGCAACCTCTGCTTCCCAGGTTCAAATGATTCTCTCCTTACTCAGCCTCCCAAGTAGCTGGGACTATAGTTGCACACCAGTACGCCTGGCTCATTTTTGTATTTTGGGTAGAGATGGGGTTTCGCCATATCGCCCAGGCTGGTCTCAAATGATCCACCCGCCTCGGCCTCCCAAACTGCTGGGATTACAGGTAAAAGTATTATAGTTGTATGGTTTACATTTTGAGTTAAATTGTATATAAATCAGAAGTATAAATCAAGATTCATTTTATTGCATATGGATGTCCAATTGTTCCAACACTACTTGTTGAAAAGACTATCTTTTCTCAATTAAAATGTTTCTGCACTGCTGTCAAAAGCCATCTATTTGTGCGGGCCCATTTCTGGACTCTCTATTCTGTTCCATTAATGTATATGTCTATCTCATTAATCTATATGGTATTTACCAACATCACACTGTCTTGTTTCTTTGTGGTAAGTCTTAAAATTGGGTAATTACTCCAACTTTATTCTTCTTTTTCAAAGTTGCTTTAGCTATTCTAATTTCTTTATCTTTCCATATAAATTTATAATAAGCTTGTCTATGCTGAGAAAATGTCCTGCTGGGATTTTTACTGGAATTGCATTCAAGCTACTGACCAGTCAAGGGAGAACTGATGTCTTTACTCTCTTGAATCTTCTGATCCATGAGCATTGTATGTCTCTCCATTTATTTTGGTCTTCTATTTCATCAGTATTTAACACTATTTACATACAGATACTCTATTTGTTTTGTGTATATCTAAGTATTTCATGGGGTCATTGTAAGTGATTTTTAAAAATTTTTTGTTACCAATTGTTCATTGTTAGTACACAGAAATATGATTGGCCTTTACATACTGACCTTGTATCCTGTGACCTTGTTAAACTCACTTACTCTAAAAATATTTTTGTAGATTTCTTGGGATTTTTCTTTTTCTTTATTTTTTTTGAGACGGAGTCTCGCTCTGTCGCCCGGGCTGGAGTGCAGTGGCATGATCTCTGCTCACTGCAAGCTCCACCTCCCGGGTTCACACCATTCTCCTGCCTCAGCCTCCTGAGTAGCTGGGACTACAGGCGCCTGCCACCATGCCCGGCTAATTTTTTTGTATTTTTAGTAGAGACGGGGTTTCACTGTGTTAGCCAGAATGATCTCAATCTCTTGACCTCGTGATCTCCCACTTCAGCCTCCCAAAGTGCTGGGATTATAGGCGTGAGCCACCGCGCCTGGCCTTCTTGGGATTTTTCTACACAGCCATCACGTCACTTGCAAATAGGGATAGCTCTGTTTCTTTCTTCCCAATCTGTGTGCCTTTGACTTCTTTTTTCTTGCATTATAATACTGGCTAGGACTTCCAGTGTAAGGATGAATATGAGCGGTGAGCATGCACATCCTTGACTTTACTGATCCTAGGGGGAAAGGTAAAGCATTCAGTCTCCTATCACTACATATGATGTCAGTTTCTTGAAGATGCCCTTAATCAGGTGGAGGAATTTCCCAGTTTGCTGAGAGTTTTTACCATGAATGATGTTAAATTTTGTCAAATGCCTTTTTCTGTATCAATTGATATTATAATGTAGTTTTTCTTAGATTGTTAATATTGTGATTCCATTTATATTGATTTTTTTTTCTTTTTCTTTTTTTGAGACAGAGTCTTGCTCTGTTGCCCAGGCTGGAGTGCAGTGGTGTGATCTCCACTCACTGCAACCTCCGCCCCCACCAGGGTTCAAGTGATTCTCCTGACTCAGCCTCCTAAGTAGCTGAGACTACAGAGGTGCACCACCATGCCTTGCTAATTTTTGTATTTTCAGTAGAGACAGGGTTTCACCATGTTGGCCAAGCTGCTCTTGAACTTCTGACCTCAACTGATCTGCCTGCAGTGGCCTCCCAAAGGGCTGGGATTACAGGTGCGAGCCACTGCCCCCAGCCCCATATATTGATTTTCAAATACGGAACCTATCTTGCACCTGTCTTGCACTCCAGCATGAAATCCACTTGATCGTGGATCACTATTCTATTACATTGCTGGTTTCAAATTGTTAACATTTTGTTGAAGATGTTTTCATCTATGCTCATAAGAAATATTGGTCTGAAGTTTTCTTTTCTTGTACTATCTTTGTTCAGTTTGGTATCAGGGTATGCTGTCCTTATAAATGCTTTAGAAATTACTCACTCCTGGCCGGGCACAGTGGCTCACGCCTGTAATCCTAGCACTTTGGGAGGCTGAGGCGAGCAGATCACTTGAGGTCAGAAGTTCGAGACCAGCCTGGGCAACAGCGCAAGACTCTGTCTAAAAAAAAAAAAAAAGCTGGGCGCTGTGGCTCACGCCTGTAATCCCAGCACTTTGGGAGGCCGAGGCAGGCGGATCATCTGAGGTCGGTAGTTCAAGATGACCCTGGCCAACATGGTGAAACCCTGTCGCTACTAAAAATACAAAAAAATTAGCTGGGCATGGTGGCACACGCCTGTAATCCCAGCTACTCAGGAGGCTGAGGGAGAAGAATAGATTGAACACAGGAGGCAGAGGTTGCAGTGAGCCAAGACTGCACCACTGCACACTCCAGCCTGGGCGACAGAGCGAGACTCTGTCTCAAAAAAAAAAAAAAAAAGAAAGAAAGAAAAAGAAAAAAGAAAATTACTCACTCCTCTTCTGTTTTCTGGAAGACATTGTGTGGAAATAGTGTTATTCTTTTTTCAAATATTTGATAAAATTTACCTGTGAAATCATAGAGGCCTGAAGATTCGTTTTTTGAAGTGTTTTAAACTATGAATGCAACTTCTTTAATAGTTATAGGATTATTCAGTTTATGGATTTGATCTTGGGCGAATGTTAGAATTTGATTTTTGAGGAATTGGTTCATTTCATCCAAGTTGTCAAATTTGTCAGCAGAGTTGTCTGTAGCATTCCTTTTATGTATTTTTTAAATCTATTTTATGTTTTTGTAGTATTGTCCTTTTGTGTTTGTTTGTGCTATTAATTGTTTATTTCATTCCTGATGTTGGTAATTTGATATTTTCATTTTAGCAGTCTATCAGATAAGTTGGGTTAAAGTCACACGTAGGGACCAGCCTTCTCTGGGTGGTGGTTTCACTGTTTGTTCCATTTTCAAAGCCTTTGCAGTACTGTTTTTGTTTTTGAGACAGAGTCTTGCTCTGGAGTGCAGTGGTGCAATCTCAGCTCACTGCAAGCTCCACCTCCCAGGTTCAAGTGATTCTCCTGCCTCAACCTCCCAAGTAGCTGGGATTACAGGTGTGCACCACCACACCTGGCTAATTTTTGCATTTTTAGTAGAGATGAGGTTTCATCATGTTGGCCAGCTGGTCTCGAACTCCTGGCCTCAAGTGATCCACCCGCCTCAGCCTCCCAAAGTGCCAGGTTACACCATGCCTGGCCCTTTGCAGTACTAGTTGGATCTGTCCCACATGTGTGCCAGTCA